GATAGCTGCCACTTTTAGCCATTTTACAGAAGAGGAAACCGACGCAGACAGAGGTTAAATGACTTGCCCAGGGCCATACAGCTAGTATGTACCTAAAGCTAGATTTGAATCTAAGTCTTCCTAGCTTCAGGCCCAGCTCTCCACTATTTTTTTTTAATTTATAAAGAATTTCCTTAGTTCATTGATCTTAGTTTGAAATGGCCCTTTTCATGATAGGGAGCAAGGTTTTATTATAGGGACATTCTAAGGGTTCCTGGACTGGATTTCAGGGTGTTAGTGAACTTGGATGAGGGAAAAAAAATGACCTTGTTATTTTTATTGACCTCAGCCTGAAATTTAGCATTTCTCCCAGTGAGGAATGTCTGTGCATCAGGAAGATGAAGAGCTCCTCCCTGTCTGAGGGGTTTTCAGAGGGGGAGCATGAGCGGTGACCTTATTATCTGGGGCAGCCAAGCAGGGCAGGGACCTAGTTCCAGGCTAATCTAGGGAGCCGGCAGGCCACTCCTTTGTTGTCAGTAAGACTCCAGGCAGTGGGGGATGCTCAGGATGCAGCTGGACCTGGGACCTTCTTGGGGTGAGGAGCCTTTGCCTCCGTTTTCTGGGCAGGAGGTCCTTGTTCATGAATGCACAGCTGAGGAGAAAGCGTTTGTGGCTGAGGCTTCACATGCATGAGCACGTTGGCAGTCTTTGTGGCTAGGGGGCTCGTCCCTTCCTTTTCTACCTGCAGAGGCTGAGTAGAGTTGATGCTGGGCTGTGATATAAGAGCCCAAGCAGCTTGGGTAAGTCCTGTGATGGGCTGGGACCCCTGAGGTTCAGGTTCAAACCTTCCAGTACGTGTGTCTTCTCCTATTCAATCTTTGTCCTTCAGTCATGGGCTACCCAGATGGTCCCTGTAGGTATTCTGACCATGAGGCTGTGTGCTCCTGTTTGGGGAGCTGTGGGCTGAGCCTGGCTTCCTAAAGCCTCAGCTGTCTCCAGGGGACCTCCAGGCCTGTTATCATCTTATCTGAGGAAGAGCCCCCCTGGCCAAGTTGGGACAGCATATCCTGAGCCAGGCAAACCTTCCTGGGTTAGACTAGGGCCATGTACTGATTCTCCTTGTTGTCCTTGTGATCACTGTCTGCTAGGCCCTGGGGCGGGGTGGGAGTGGGTGGAACATGCTCAACAGAGAGAGTTTTTGGCCACGGGCGAATCCTGAAGAAGGAAGGCCCACACTGATTAAAATCGGGTCCTTTTATTGGTTTTGTGTAAACATCCTGGAATGGAGGAATCCCAGGTCATCCCAGCCAGACAGATGCACTCCGTGCCTGGGGAGCGAGCCCCTGAGCTTGGGTGGGGCCTGGAGGGTGAGTGGATGCACTCTGGCATGTGGCCTGGCGGGGCTTTGGGCTTGCAGACAAGTGGCTTGGACTTTGATTGTTGGCTCTTCAGGGTCAGTGAGGATGCACTTTCCTGGGCTGACCTTTGGAAGCTGCATGCAGATGTTTTTACATAGCCATCCCATGGGCCTCCCTTCTAGGAGTTTGGGCCTCGCCCAGGCCTGAGCAGGGAGCCGTCCTTCTTTGCTTCCTCGGCGATCATCCCCGTTCTTCAGTCTCCTTCTGCTTCTCACTCTTTACGGCATCCCCGTCTTCACGCCAGATGCTGGTCAGTCACTCCTGCAGCTGCCCTTTTTGCCGAGCCCTGTGCCGAGTGCTTGGGGTAGAAATGCCTTGGTGGTCTTGCTGACTAAGGCGTCCATCACAAAGTGCTCGGACTCCTTCCCGCCATCCCCAGTTGAGTCAAAATGCTCTTTTTATTGCTGTGTTAACAGAGAAAAAATTGCTGCAAAATGACATCAATCAGAACTCATCACTGACACAGATAAGGAAGTGAATGGGGTTTGACCCAAGCCCCATTTGACGCGGGGCTCCTGGGAGGGGACACGCCGCTCTGGGCGTCATGCAAGAGGGAATGGCGTTCCGTTGAGTTTTATTGTTTGTTCATTCAGCAAGCATTTCTCAGAAACTGATACTGTTCCCTAAATCTTTATATCGAGCATTAATTCAGTGTTGCCACCGGCCACCGAACAATGAATTCATCCGTGATTTGTTTTTAATAGCCTGCCTTCCTTCTGAATGGTCCCAGCTTGTGCCTCAGTGCCATGACCAGGCTGCGATCTCCTTGGCAGGTGGCTGGGAAGGGGCCTCGGGGACCATCTTGTGCACCCTGTGCCTGAATTTGTGCCTTGTTAGGTCTGAAGAGAGGTTCTCTAGCCTTAGCTGGGAGAGCTGCAGTGAAGGCAGCCAGAAAAGACTGGAGGTAGGCATTCTCACTAGCAGCTGCACAACAGGCCAGGTGTGAGATGTCCTGCATCGGGGTGGCTGCAGCGCCAGGGGAGAAGGTCTGGGAGAACTGGGAGAGCTCTGAGTGGGGTAGAATTGTCAGGATTTGATTACGGATTTGATGAGGAGCTGAGGATGGTACCTAGCTCATGAGCCTGGGGCACGGGAGGCTGGTGGTGCCCTAGACAGTGATGGGGAAGTGGGAGGAGGAGGGGGTTGGGGGGAAAGGTCACGAGGTCAGTCTTGGACGTGGTGAGATCTGCTTTGAGAAGGCCAATAGGTGAAAGGAGATTTGAGCCTGCAGCTCAGGAGAGAGGGTAGGGCTGTACAAATGGATGGGAGAGTCATCAGCATCGATATGGTAATTGATTCTGTGGGAGCTGATGAGATCACCAGGGACAGTAGGACCCAGGAGAAGGGGAAAGGGCTCCAGACAGAGCCAATAGGGACACCCACCGTTAGTGGGGATGGTCTGGGGGACAGTCCAGCAAAGGAGACCAAGGAGAGGCTCAGACAAGCAGGGAGCCTTAAAGCAAAGAGTGGCTGGACAGTGTCGAGAGAAGAAAGTTTTTCCTGATAGTAAGTAAGCCTAGTCCATCTCTTGAAACATCCACGTGGCTCTCCTCTGGAGCCCATTAAAATGGGCCTTTCCCACGAAAGTCAGCTGTCTCATCTGCCGTCAGCCTTCACTTTTGGCTCTCTCTTCCTTCTTTCTTCAGCTCGTCCACATGTGGTATGTTCTTGAAGCCACACACCCTCCTGGCTGTCCTCCGTTAGATGTGGTCCTTGTGAAGCTGTGGCGCATTCTGTCCTGGCCAGGAAACCATTCCTGGTGCAGCTTAAGGCTGTGCCACATTGAGAATTCCTATAGGAGCTGTTGGCGCCCTTCCCTTTGGGATTTGTTTCAGCCAGGCTGTGGAACTTGACATTCGTCCCGACCAAATTTCATCTTCTTTGATTTGGCCAATCAGGCTGGCTTGCTGAGACCATTTGCCCACCCTGGGCATGTTGGGGGAGATGGCTCTCTTTGGAGGCAGTGCAGATGAGCCTGTATGTGGGAGGCAGAGGAAGGAGCTGTGGCTCTGGAGTCAGAGGCCTGTGTTCCAGGCCCACCTTTGACTCTTACTTGGGCAAGTCATTTAAACCTCCTTGATGCTGAAGTCGATGAATGGGAGCTCCTTGAGGGCAGGGACTGTTTGATTTTTGTATCTTTTTTGTATCCTAGGATGCTGTCTGGACCTCTTAGGTGCTTATCAGTAATCTGTGTTTACGTGGACTTTGTGGTCTGAGCCTTTTCCAACTCAGGGTCTTTGACTGGTCCCCTTCAAGTCATTGATGGCGTGTTGCCAAGGCCAAGACCCCTGAGACACTGTGGAAGGCGTTCTTGGTCCAGGCTTTCAGCCGGTCCTGCTCTTCCAGGGGACTTGGGAGACATTGTCAAATGCTTTTCTGAAACCTGAGGAAGAGACTACAGGCAGCAGCAGCAGCAGCAGAAGGCGGCACGCAGCCTTCTGCCTCCTTAAATCCTGGCTTCGAAACACAGATGACAGGCAGCTTAGTGCCATCATGTAGCTAGCCCTGGACCTGGGGTCAGAGAGATGTGGGTTCGAATACTACTTCAGATGCTTCAGCGCCTGTAGAAGCCTGGGGCGCTCACTTCACCGTTTCCCTTCCCCCACCTGTGAAATGGGGATGATAGTTTCTTGTGAGGCAGGGCTGCACACCATGAGGCCCTCACTCCAGCGGGTGTTACAGTCACAAACGCTGCCCCAGATGGAATTTGCTTTCTCGGCAGCTCCCTGGAGTTTGAAGTCCCCTGAGTGAAATCTTCAGATTCCCCACCTCCGGGCTTCTGGCCCCCCCTCCTTCCAGAGGCCAGCTTCTTGCCAGCGTGCATTTACCTGCTTGCTTTTCTCTTCTGGGGGCTGTAGTGGAAATACAGAACCCTTTTCACTGGGGTCCCTGAGGAATGGTCACTTGGCCATCTGTGCAGCTCTTCCAGGCTCTGGGTGTGGAGGCCAGTCAAATGGTGGGACCTTTCTGGGAGAAAGCTCTTCATTGGGTGCTGAGTGCCCCAGATGCCCCTGTGCACCTTTCCCTGAGGATGTGTTGCGTATTTGAAGCCTGCTCTCCCTTGACACCCCACACATCACAGCTCTGTGCCCTTCTCTTGGGGTGCTCCTGTTGCAAGGAGCCTGGCCCCCAGAAGGGATCTGACCACCATGGAGGAGAGGGGTGTGGCCGCAGGGGTCCTGGTGTCTGACACCTTCCTTCAGGAGAACTCGAGGACTTTGTCCAAGGCCTAGACAAAGGGTGAGGGGCAAAAAACCAAGCCAGGGTTTGAGCATGCCTTCTGACTCCTGATGTGATGTCCCGTTAAAGGAACATTGGCTGGCTCGCCTCTGTGACACTGTGTACCCTCTCTTCTACCCTGGCAAAAGGGACCTGTGACTTTTTGGGTCTGGGAAACTCGGGGGTGTAGGGGCAAGAGTGCTGGGCTTGGTGTCAGTGCGGAGAGCTGTTTGATCATGGTTGTGGTTCTGGGCCTTCCTCTGACCCCTGGCATCCTAATGGCTGAGAACACAGCTCTTCCCTCTTGACTGAGGCGGGAAGCTTACTTTCTGTGGGTTGTTTGCAAGTGGCTAAAGGCAACACTTGATTTCTGTTCTTTTTCAGGCAAGAGTAAGGAGGCGGAGATTAAAAGGATAAACAAAGAACTGGCTAATATCCGATCAAAATTCAAAGGTGAGTCAACAGGGCAGCTCTCTCCCCCAAGATGTCTTGGACTCAAGCCATTTGTCCAGTGGCTTTGCTATTGTTCTCTCTCTCTCTCTCTCATGCTGTTCTTCCCAAATCAGAGGTGGGCATTTTGTCACCGGGGGCTTATCCTTGAGGAGGAGTCATGAGAAGGGTCGAGGCAGGCTTTGGTAGATGGGACTCTCCTCCGTCACCGGAAGTGGGCTGAAAGCTGTGCATGGTACTGAATCCTGCTGGTCTTAGTGGTGGCTGGGCCCTGAAAAGCACTCTTCGGATACAGGCTTTCCCAGGCACGTGGTACAATCCAGCAGGGTTCAGTGAGCAAATGAATGACTGAAGAAGAGTTGATTAAGCACTTACTGTGTGCCCAGCATCAGGCTCAACTCTAGGGATGCAAATCACTTGCCCTTCAGGGGGAGTCTACATTCTAATGGAGGAAACAACACCTAGATGGAGAGTGGCAGCTGGTGGGGGAGAGGGTCACTTGGTTTGGGAGGGTTACAAGGGATGTCTCGGGTGTGAGAGGTGTTCATTATTCCAGAACTGGGGGCAGGGAGGAAAGGGTGGGGCTGTTGGTGAGAAAGAGGAGATGATTCAATCTGTTCCTGTGGAGGGCATTCCCATCCTCTATAATCCCTCAGGCTCCCAACCCAAAAGTCACCCTGGACTCTTGTTCTCTCACTCACCAGATCCAATATGGTGCCAAGGCCAGTCAATTTCGCTTGTGCTGCATCTCTTGTAGATTTCAAATCTCCACCCCCCCCCAAAAAAAAACAAAACAAAAGCAAAACATTCATCTCTACTGCATCTGTGGTCAATGTCACCTCTACTGGATCTCTGGTCAATTTCACCTCTGCTGTATGTATCTCTTATAGATTTCACCCCCCCCCACAACAAAACCAAAACATTCACCTCTGCTGCATCTCTGGTCAGTTTCACCTCTGCAGCATCCCTGGAACATGCCCCCTTCTCCTCTGACTCTGCCTTGGTGCAGGCCCTCATCACCTCACCTGGACTATTGTAGTAGCTACTGGGGGGTTCTCCCTGCCTCAGGTCTCTCTCCACTCCATTATATCCTCTATTGAGTCAATAACGTGATTTTCCTAAAGTGTAGGTCCAACTGTGTCATCCCCCTACTTAGTAAACTCCGGTGGCTCCTTATTGCCTCCAGGGTCAAGTACCAAATGCCCTGGTCTTCAAAACACTTCCCAACCCAATCTCCTCCTCCCTTTCCAGTCTTCTTACACCCTGCTCCTCAACATATATTCTTCAGTCGAGGGGCAGTGGCCTCCTGGCTCTTCCACCAAGACCCTCCATCTCTCGGCTCCAGGAATTCTCTCTGGCCGTCCCTTGTCCCTGGAATGCTCCCCCTCCTCCATTCCGAATACTGATCTCCTTGGCTTCCTTGAAGTCCCGACTAAAGCTGCACCTTTTATAGGAAGCCTTCACAGCCCCTCTCAATGCAGAGCCCTCCCTCTGTTAATTGTTTCCTGTCTGTAGCTTGTTTATGTGGATTTGTTTGCTTGATGGTGAGTTCTTCGAGTCAGGGTTTGTTCTTTCTGTGTCCTCAGTGCTTGGCACGGTGCCTGGCGCACAGTAGGTGCTCAATCAATGTTTACTGACTGGTTGCTCAAGAGTAAAGAGTTAAGGGAGGCATGTTGGCTGGGATTTTCTTGGGGAGAGCTTGGTCCGACTGATTCTTAGTAAGCAAGAAGTTGGGAGGGGTGTGCTCCCTCAAGGTGCTGTCACTACCATGGAATACGATTCCTATTTGTCGCTGACATTGTGCTGGCTCCATTAAGCCTCAGCAGAGTTTCCTGAGAAGAGCATCTTTCCAGAGTTTGGCCCCAGAATCCACATGAGAAAAGCCAAGCGGATAAGGAGCATTTCTTGTCCAGACCACGAGCGGCAGTTGGAGGGTCAGCCCAGAGAGCCTTTTGATCTGTGCATGTGTCTTGGATAGACAGCTCTGATGGCCAGGGAGCAGGGCTCTGATTTGGCTAGGAGGAAGGGGGCCAGCCAGATCACACTGGGCAGATGGAGCAGCCATCTCAACAGCTCTAAGCTTCTCCATAGCAGAAACCCAGCTGACCATTAATCAGATGTGTCCCAGTTATGTGCTGTGGTGGTAAACCCTGAGGTGCTTTCAGGATGCCCCAAAGATTCCAACTTGGGGATCCCTCGAAGGGTGATGGAGAGGTGGCAGGTGCAGACAGGCCAAGTGTGTTACCAGCAGAGGGTAGTGGCATCAGCGAGATCACGGTCAACAAGATTCCAGTACCCACTGTGTGTGTGCCAGCCGCTAGGACCAATCCCCTCCCGTGAGGAGCGGCCCTTCACGTGGAACTGTCGGAGCTCTTCCTGGGCGTTTGATTCTTGGCCCCCCTCGTCTGATTGTTTGCAGTGGTGGGTGCTTCTC